CAAGTGAAAGCAAGTGAAGCAGCAAAACATGCAACTGAAATTGCACAACTGCAAGCTGAGGTAGCAGAACTGAAACTCGAAGAAGCAAAGATGGGACTGATGGAAATGCAGACTGAATTGGAAGTAGAGGACAAGGAAATAAAAACAGGCAAAGATGCAAACTGAAATCGCAAAAAAAGAACTGATGGAATTCCAGAGAAAGCTCAAGGAGGCCAAAAAAAGAAATCCAAGAAGCAAAGACAGAAAATGTAAAAGTGAACCAGGAAACTGAAATTGCAAACAAAAGGAATTCATGGAAATCCAGACAGCACTGAAAGACGAAAAATTGAAAAATTAGAAGCAAATATGGAAACTGTAATAGCAAAGAAGTACTGAACCGAATTGAACTGAAATGAAGTTCATTTATTTAAGTACAATCAAAGACTGCAGCAATCCATCTAATGCTTTGGATGTGTTGCCAGGAGAAAGTTTTTTTTTTCTCTTTAAAGAATATGGCAGGACAAATGACAAGACTTCAACAATGTTCTTTAGACCAACAAGATCAAAGGGGCGATAAGTCACTATCATGCACAGGACCAGGTTAGGTGCAAACCAAACACCACATACCAGCCGTAAAGCACGGTGGTGGAAGTATAACGATTCGGGCTTGTTTTGCAGCCAAAGAATCTGGGGTTCCTTTATACATTGTGTCAACCATGAACTCCATTCTACACCAAAGTAGTTTAGAGTCAAACGTAAGGCAGCTAAGGCTTGTCGTTGATGTTAATTTAATAATGCGTTAAAATCTTTTGTATTAGCTTTATTAGTTAAAAAACACTAACTTTCAAGTCCACCTCACTTTGCACATGATCTGGTTCTTATATAGTGCTTTTCTACATTCATACTCCAATGAGAACACATTAAGCAACTCAGGGCTCAGTATTTTGTACAAAGACACCTTTTGCATCAGGATACTCTGGCAAACAGACTGGAGCAGCTCGGAATCAAAACACCAACCTTCCAGGTTAGTAAATGACCTGCTCCACCTGCTGCCTGAGCTATAGCCCCCCTACCTGCTCAACCTTAGCACCTCAGCAACTTCCCTTGTAGTGTGAAATAATGGTGCATCAGCTCGTTTGAATCCTTTGGACCCCGCTCTCCCAGTTTAACTCTATTTTTGCTTTGTGTAATCAACAAAGTACCAGCCTGGGCTGATAAGCGGTACTGATTTTCTCCAGGAGGTTTAGGTCTTATCAGACAAGTTCCAGTGTTGTGATACCTGTTTTGACTGTCTCTCTCTCTCTCTCTCTCTCTCTCACACACACACACACACACAATTTCTATATATACCAAGCTATCTCCTGTTTCAAAAGACAAGCTAAAGGTCTCACACACACACACACACACACACACACACACACACACACACACACACACACACACACACATTTACAGTGTTGATTCCATACTTCAGATATCTGAAGTGTTTTCACAGAATCACATAAACACACAATGCACGTATCTAATTATTTACAAGTGACAACAACATTTTTATTTTTATTAAAAAGAAAGTTTTTTCTCAAAGATTTTTCTTTTCCTTTTAAACAAAGCATCTTAAACAGTTTGAGAAATGAAATGTCCTGTAAGAGCACATCAGGAGTGGAGAGAAAACCTTAAGACTCGTGAGCTGGGTGACAGAAAGTACGCAACACCTCCCCCTCTGCTGAATGTTCCTCCTTTCCTCCAAGTTGGTGTGTTGCTGTTCCCGGCCCCCTGTGGCCTCATTATAACACAGACTGAAACACAGCAGCCATGTCTGATAGCAAGGACAACAGCACACGCACACACACACAGACACACATAACCTTAGAGAGCCTTGTTTTACAGACACTTGCTTTCATCTAAAACACAGATCGTTCCATACACTTAATGTCCGTTCAAAAACCAGAACGGAGTCACGAAACACATGCACGCTAAATAATAAGGAATTATATAACAAGACAAATGCAGCTCTATAATTTTAGCTTCACTTCATTGTTTACATCCAACCCACACAAAATGTAGGATATACATCAATTCTCTCTAAACATTTGGAAAATGCAAATCGCATTCAAAACAGGAAACGCAACTATGGCAGCAATGTACATCATCATATTTTCCAACAGGATCTTTGAGATGGTTTCAGCTCTGCTTGGTCTTACCATCTTCATGTTCATATCCAAACTTTTATCAGCTTTTATCAGTGGAGAGGCATGTCACCTGCTCTAATAAACCTTTTAGGAGGCTAGACTGGTTAAAAATATTTACAGGTTCACTGCTTTCCCTCTTGATTATTACAACTCTCTTTATATAGCATTTGGTTAAAAAACATACCAATAAAACACTCAATTTTAAATTGTTCCACAATGCAGCTCGACCCTTTTATTAAGTGGTTGCAGACATGCAACCGCTAACCACATGACGTTAACTTGTCTGTCATTTTGGATGTGCGACAATCATGGCAATAATGTGAGCCCCAGTCCTACAAACCTTTTTGTAGCCCTTTGCTAGCTCAGATTTTTACTGTTGCTAGGCTAGTTGCTAGCAATTATTTACAGATAAACATGAACATCTACAGGCAACTGTGGAAATGTGTATATACGTATACATGTATTTTATGTTCACTTATGTGTGCTTATGTGTGAAAGTGTACATTTTTGTATATGTATGTGCATATTTGCATGTACACATATTTTTTACAAACATACATGGATGTCCTATAATGTTTTCATCTTATCTATTTTAACTCTTTTTAATTATATTATCCCTCTGTTCAGCACTTTGGCCGACACTTGATGTCTTTTAAATGTGCTATATAAATAAAGATGACTTGACTAGATAAGGACTAGGAGGTTTTTGCTGCAGTGAGAGACTCTCTAGGAAGCCTACAAGAACCACTGCCAAACAGTCGAGGAATATGCATTTTAAGCTAGCAACTGGTGGCTGTATCATGGCCAAAACAGCATGCAACTTTTGAGCAATGTGCATGACATCGCGTGAACATTTTTGTTGGAAAAACCATTGTTGGCATGCAGAGCAGGAAGACATTTCTTGAGGTTGACCACCAGGTGTGCATTCATTTCAGGTGAGATTTTGGCTAACTCCTCTTTACAGAAACTTTAAATCCTTTCATGGCTATCACTTAGCAACTTGAAGCTCCCTCCAAAGATTTTCTATAGGATTGAGGTGTGGACACTGGCTAGCCTACTCTATAACTTTAATGGGCTTCTTCTTTAGTCATGTTAGAAGACCCATCTTTAGATTTTACGCCACATGCTGGTCCATTGGCCCCTTAATGCGGTGAAGTTGTCGTACCCTTGGTGGAAAAACAGCCCTGACTTTAGATGTTATTCCAGCTCCGTGCTTGACTGTGGGAATGGAGCTCTTTGTGTCATAACCTTTATGTAATGTGTTTTTCCTTCTGGATTTTTGGTCAATATTCTTTCTCTTTCTCTCTATTAAAATGAAACTGCCATAAAAATTAGAGACTGTTCATTTCTTTGTGACTGAGCAAGTTAACAAATTCAGCAGGTGATCACATAATTGTTTCCTCCCTCTGTATGTGCAGACTTAGAAACCAGTCTTCTTTTTTTGTGGATTTGAAACTAAATCTCATAAATTGTGATATATTATAGAAATTAAATTAAAATTTAATTAAAAAGTGCAGATTAAGTATTTTTATTTAAAAATGAGTAAAATATCTTTCAAAAAAACGATTAACAAAAACCTTATTAAAACATCTCTTCCTTTATGTGCACAGCTGTATTACTGTGTCATGCCTTTTGCGTATGCACTCCATTTAGCCTCTTTCTACAAAGGTGCTGCTCAAAATGTCATATCATGACTAAGATCTGAGGCATGCAGATTACAACTTCATAATTAGCGGGCCGTCAGGTTAGCTGGGGTCAAACACTAATCTCAGTGCTAATTAAAATTTAGCTTGTGCAGCTCATCAAAACAATTAGTGGAGAACAATAATGAGAGGAGTGATGGAAGGAGGGGGACTGTGTGTGCTTGTAGACTAGGATTCAATAAATGAGACAGAGGCTCCAACATGCTTTCAATGCCAATGGCACAGCAGTGGAATGGCCAGTGTGTATATGCCACCAAGACAGAGGGGTCCAATCCTGGGAGAAGATGAGAGGAAAGGGAGGAGAAGGAAGCAAGCGAGAGAGAGCGGTGTGGAAATACAAGAAAAGGAGCATCCAAATGTTTCAACAGACAGAAAGAACAACCGCTCACAATCTGATAAGTTAAAAAAAGTGATGCTGGGACATTTCATTCAAATCTCTCTCCCTCTGCCTCATGTTCTTCCTCCCCATAGCCTTGTTTTCCTCTTGGCTACTTCTTCTTCCACAGAAGCAGCCGTCTGCCAATACGATCCCTCCTCAATCTTAAGGTGACACGAAAAAAAGGAGGGGAGGGCGGAGACTTGGCTGACAAAAGTACAGAGACAAAAGTAAACAAGTGCAGATGGTCTGCGTGTTGTTAAAGGACAGCGGTGGATGCGAGGTGAAGGACACGAATCTGCCGCCACCATTGCGGAAACTTTGCATTTCTCCTCTCGTCTTTTTCTTCTCGCTTTGCTTCCGCAGCCCAGAGGACGACCCTCAGAGACTTGCCTGCCTCGACATCGGCGGTCCATCTGTGTCTCCCTAAAACACACGCAGTAATACACACACTCCCAAGTGTTTCACACAATGTTTACATTACATTGGCCCAGCCTACAGCGGGAAACAGACAGCAAGAGAATACACAACTGACGGCTTCTCTCTGTACGAGTATTTATAGTACAGAGAAGAAAAACGCTGCTGGGACAGACTCACTCACTCCTTCATGGGATTTCCCCATCTTGGACGTCACAGACAAAAACGAACACCACAAAAATGACACTTATTCTGGGCACCTTTATAGCTGCATTACATAACGCAGCACATTCAAACAAAACAGAAGCATCAATCCAAAAATCAAACACCCACTGCTTGTAGGAGAAATAGATTTATTATTCGGGGGTTGTGAATATACATGCTCTGTTTTTTTATGATGTCTAAAGGTAAAGACAACATTCACAAGGCGGATCTTTTGTGCAACAGTTTCAGTAGACTCGCTCCTCACAGATAAAAGCATCATATGCAATGGTTTTAAAAATGTATTTACACGGTTACACACAAATCAACCGCCGCCAGGCAGGTCTCCTCTGTCAAATCCGTGTGTCGTGAACACAGGAGCTGGAACGCATGCCGGAGAGGTCCCTCTGCAAAATGTTATTGGCCCAGTTCATTTAAAGGGCTCTCAGCTTATCCTCTATTAGGGATCTTCTGGGGTAACGGTAAAGCTACAACTTTTTGCAAAGTTGCTACAGGTTTTTCAGATTGCCACTGTTGCTTAGCTCATCTAAGCATTTCTACACATTGATTTGAATTAAAACCTGGAGCTGATATTTGAGGTAATACCTGGTATTGCTGATAAAGAACAGGCTGGAGTAACAGATGTGGAATGGCTAGCAGGACGACACCCTCAAGGTACCTTAGCCCTACCCCTACCAACATCAGCTGCTAAAGCACCGCCATCCAGTGATGGCAAAGCCGGACTCACTAGCCACATCCAACAAAAAAAGAACTAGGCTTGAGCTGCAGGTCTTAGAAGAGCAGTTTTTGAGGATAACATGCTCGGTCAGTTTATTCAGCTGTCATTCTATCTGCGTGTCTGTAGTTCCGTCCAGGAGTAACCGGCGGAGCTCCTGTGGGTCGGTGACGGGCAGAGAGCACGTGAAGTCCTGACAGACGTAGGCTGTGGCTACACCGCGCAGCTGCGACATGGAGGAGAGGATGGGCAGGCGCTGGCACAGGAAACTCTCCGTGTCCCCATCAGCGAGCATCAAGACCTGAAAGAGCCAAGCAAAAAGTATGTGGCATCAGATTACAAGGACAGAACTGATCAACAAGGTGCAGTAAACATTTCTTTGACCATAAATCAGTTCGCCATTATGATAACATTTATGCTTCAAGATTAGGATAATGTTTGCATATAGAAGCGTACGTGCTGAATCTCTAATTAACAAATCGGGATTAAGAGAGGTTAATTAAACTCAATCCAAGCTCCAGTTAAAATAGTTAACATCTCATCTCCAGCTAGTACTTGGTAGACCATCCTCTGTCTCAAACAAGCCACTTTAACTCCTATGGTCTTCGCTTTAAATCAGGCTTCTTTTGATTGGCTGTCCCTCATAGACAAAAGGTTTGAACAGCAGGTGGGTGTGGCTTCTACTCTGGGGTGTGGCTTCTATGCTGACATGTGCCTGATATGACCATATTAGTATGCTGCTCTCACTGACATCAAACAGAAGACATGCTGTTATGCTTGTAAATTAATAAAAGTGAACTGAGTTGAAGTATTGTGCATCTGCTCAAAGGCAGTGATTTCAGTGAAGCTAGCCCCTCCTGTATGCTAATTCCTAATGCATACACACATTTTGTTTTAGCAACATGGAAAACTGGAATTCTGTGTGTGGGACACAGGAATTACAGCTGAGAAGCAGAAAAATCAAACGAGTGCTGGAACAGTAAATAGAAACCATTTGTTTTAATACGAACAAAAAAAAAAGAAAGTCAGTTGTCGCCATTTGGCCAAGCGTGAAAATGGTTTGAGTAATTGGATTGTCATTTTTATGTTACTTCCATCTGTGTGGCAGCAGTCCAGTCACTAAAGAAGAGTGTTACTGTCCGGGAGAAAGATGTTCAGTGTAATTACATCTTTAAACCATTTCTGTGTCAACGCATCATCTCGGCACACAGCGCAGCCTCGTGCTGATCATGATTGCTCTCTTTATTCCTTTAATACAGCTGTACTACTCCCATACACTCACCCAAAATAACCCTCCCAAAAACACCACATTCAAACGTGGGTCAGTGGCTGCTATGCTGTCATGCCCACACCAAGTCAAGAAATTATTATGTGTGTGTCTGTGTGGGGGATACATGCGTGGTTCACCAGTCCTGCCTGCAGCAATGACGCTTTAAAAAAAGACAAAAACCCAAACAAATAATTTAAGTATGTATTCACAAGAATGTGAATTTGGGCTTCAGGTCACCAGAGAGAGAAAAACCGGCTGCCTGTCTTTGTGCATGTCTGTGTGTCACTGCAGTGTTGGACAGGCAGCAGAGCGAAGTTAAAGAGAGCTGCCCTGTCTGGTCCCTGGGCGGTTTCCTGTCAGACACGTGTCATTTCCTCCTGGCCCTGCACCACCTCTGGTTCACAACGGAGCGAGAAATGACAATACAAACAAGGAGCGGAGGGAAAAACGAGAAAAGGAAGGAGAAAGGAGACGAGATCGGACGACTGCAGGAGGGTAGAGGTGAAACTTCTTGAGTAGACTGACATGACCGTCGGTATAATAAGCTGACAACCAGAGGCAGTATAGGAAACAAACACTGGTTACAGGTTTGAATGATCGACAGAGTATCTGCAGTATATAAACATCTAAGACAAGCTTGAGCCAGGTAGGTTAAACCTCTGCACTGTTTTATCCACACAGCAGTTGAACTTAATCAGGTCTTGTTTGTTTTTCCAATAATAAATTGTACTTTTGCTCGTGAGAGAAATGACCACCTTATCCTTTAGCACAGTCTGAACTATTAGGAAAGCTTTCCTGTTGTTTGTTCAGGCAGTCTTCAGGAACATCTTGATGCATGCAAAATCATCCAGGTAAGGAAATCCCCCAAAGTAGTCTTATGGGTCTTCAGGAATAGTTCTCCAGACGTCCCCTTTCTCTTCTTTGGAGGTCGACTGCCTTTCGTTGTGTTCTTTGTCGAGATGTCACACTGCTTCAATAGTGCTGAGGTCCAGGCGGGAAGGCCAATCCATGACTGACAGTGTTTGATAGTGTGCTTTTCCTATCCAGATTCGCTGTTCCTGCACTGACCGTGTGTTTACACTGTCATGCTGAAAAATGCAGCCATTGCGATTCACATCCTTCCCAGTTGGTATTGAATGGTGGGTCAAAATCTGAAAGTACTTTCCTAGATTGATAAATTGCATCAATTTTGACAAGTTCTCCAACAACAGCTCCAAACCATGACAGAGCCTCCACCGTGTCTTACAGATGGCTGTAGACACTCACTATTGTAAATGGTAAATGGCCTGTATTTGTATAGCGCTTTTACTAGTCCCCTCTAGGGACTCCAAAGCACACCCAGTCATCCACCCATTCACTCTCACATTCACACACTGGTGGAGGCAAGCTACAGCTGTAGCCACAGCTGCCCTGGGGCAGACTGACAGAAGCGAGGCTGCCCTTCTAGCTAACACCAGTAGGTGTAGGTGAAGTGTCTTGCCCAAGGACACAACGACCGAGTCTGTCCGAGCCGAGGCTCGAACCGGCAACCTTCAGATTACAAGGCGAACTCCCAACTCTCGAGCCACTATTGTACATCGTTGCTGACTTCCTGCCGACATTGGTTTAGTCCTGTTAGTCCAGTTCTTGTGTAATGTGGGATACCTCAGCCTTTTCTCCCAGTTTCCCTTCCTTCAGAATGTCTTCTTGACAGCCACCATTTGACAGAGACCATTGTGCTGAATGCTCAGTAAACAACTGATGCATCTCTCTGATATTGTGTCAGGTCTTTAATAGATTTTTTCCTAATTGTTATGGACATCACTTTCAGATACTGATACAATTCACAGAGATGTATAATTCCTAGATGATGCATCTTAATGAGTCTAGTTACCCTCCGACACCTCCCTTTTGCACAACTATATGGTTGACAATGAATATCATTCCCATCAAAGTCAGCTGTACTTTGCATTTAGTCCAAATTTGCTAACATGCTCAACTCTAATAGCAAACCTGTTAAACACAAACCTGCTAATCATCAGCATTACCCAGCTGTCCCTGTGATTCCTTAAATGCTGCTGTGCTGCAGTACTAACTCTTAGAGCTGCTAGCAAAGCATTTAATAAAAAGATCTAAACACTGTTTTGGTATCAGTGATAAAACAACATTAATATATCAGAACTGTGATCTGGGAATATTAGAAATGATGTCATCCCTTCACAGAGTACATAATGATCAGTATGAAATATGGATTAAACAAAAATAATGATACAGTAAAATATCACGGTCCTTCATCTTCCTATGGGTTACCCAGTGGCTAGAAACATCCATATTTAAATTGAATTAGGCAGTAACTCTGAAGTGCATACAGCAATGTGAAGCACATTAATCAACTTCACACATTATTAACACTGATTAATAATGCTAATACACACATTGACACTGCACTGCAATATACAGTATAGATATAAACAGAAATCCTGCTCTTTGCCTTTCAGATGTATGTTTTTGGTCTTCTAACTACAGCTGTATTGACACAGTCATCAATAATGTATTGTTATTATTCCTATTAATTCAACCTGTAGTATGCGAGTGCACGTGGGGGTGTGTAGGACATGTTAATGTGAACTTATCCGTGTACTGTGATCCACTCCGTACAATAACGCTGCACCCTGTTACATGTCCACATGTACAGGTGGCTGTAATAAACTAGAGCACACAGGTACTCCCGATCCTGCTTTCATCGCTAATTGTTCTTTAGTCATTAGACAAAATTGTCTGCTGGAGGAGACTCTCCTCTTCTGTAAGCGTGCCAGCCAGCACTCACCCGGGCCACCATGCGGAACTGTTTGCATCCTCTTCACCCCGTCTCAATGAGCCTTCTCATTCACTGGCTGTCTCAGAGCTCCCCAAGTGCTCCACTCAGCCATTTAGATGCTCATTTGTGCCGATAGCCATCTGCACTTCAAAAGCCAAAAAACTATCAATAGATTACGCCGCTCAAATCCATCCATCCATCCATTCGCTTCCGCTTATCCTTTTCAGGGGGGCGCTGGAGCCTATCCCAGCCTTCATAGGGCGAGAGGCGGGGTACACGCTGGACAGGTCGCCAGTCTGTCGCAGGGCCAACACACAGGGACAAATAACCATTCGCACTCACATTCATACCTAGTGACAATTTGGATTATCCAATTAACCTATCCCCACAGCTGCATGTCTTTGGACGGTGGGAGGAAGCCGGAGTACCCGGAGGGAACCCACGCAAACACGGGGAGAACATGCAAACTCCACACAGAAAGACCCCGGCCTGATGGTGGAATTGAACTCAGGACCTTCTTGCTGTGCGGCAACAGTGCTAACCACCGTGCCACCGTGCTGCTGTGTTGAACTACTTCTGTGTCTATTACTAAATATGCTGTGTGGTAAAGAAAATTCTTCCTTAAGGGGAACATGAAAGGATGCTGCCCACATCTTATCTTCTCAAAGTTCATGCAGGCTTACGTGTTTGAAGAAGCTCAGATGATAAATAATTTTGGCACTAAAAAACAGAAAACTGTGGAAACATTACACCGAGCACCGGAGAGAGCTGTCTACAAACATTTTTGGGCATTAAATCAGGGGAAGACTGGGAAGAAGCATGATGGAGTGTGTTCATATTGGTGTGACCGTTGTCATAGCGACCAGAGGAGGATTTCCCTGCCAAACTGAACCTTTTCCACCCTGACTTGATTCTTCTTTTGGCTTCATGTCGTCCCTCCCTGGGTCCAGACCACATCCAGCCACGTGGCCTCAACTTAAAGGTCGCTCAGTAGTCTGTCTGTGTCACAACAACACGATCTGCACAGACCCCTCGGTGCTGGAAACGACCTGTGCGTGTGTGTGTGTGTGTAGTGAAGCTGAAACAAAGAAACAGAGACAGACAGAGATCCAGATTACGTGTGAATGTACACACGAAGGCTTGTGGATGTGACGGACTGAAAGCAAAGTCTGTGTGTGTGTGTGTGTGTGTGTGTGTGTGTGTGTGTGTGTGTGTGTGTGTGTGTGTGTGTGGC